TCTGTATCATAAACCTAGAATTCTGTCTTTAACACAGACTCTTACATCCAGGTATCTACTTAACATTCCCACTTTTATGTCCCACCAGCACCTGAACTTTATATGTACTAAGCTGAACTCATACACACACACACACACACACACACACACACCCACACCAAATTCTTCCAATCTTCCTCTACACTATCTTGGTTACCACTATCCACCCAGTCACCAAAACCAGACACCCAAGAGAAATCCTTGCCCACCCCATCTCTCCCCACCCTACCCTCAAAAGTCACTAAGTCCTTTGGATTCTGTATCCTAGACATTCTTCAAACTTATCCCCTTCTTTCCATTTGCACTGCTGCAGTTCTAGTTCAAGCCTTTAAGTTTCACTAGGATATTCTTTTTATTACAGCAAATCTTCATAACATAAAATTTTACCATTTTAACCATTTTTAAGTGTACAGTTATATGGCCTTAAATACATTCACGTGTTGTGCTCACTAGGATTATTTTAATCAGGAGCTATCTGGGCTTCCTACCTATAGGTTAATCTGCTTCCATCCCATCCCTACATTCTTGTCTGTGTAATCTTTCTAAAGTGCAAATGGTGTTACTAGATGAATTAAAACCCATTCATTGCTTCCCACTGTCTACATTAGTGGTTTCATCACAAGGTTTTCACAGGTCCATGCTGAAATGGGAAAAATAAATAAATAAATAAATAAATAAATAAATAAATAAATAAGACAAAGTTTTTCTAAATTTTTTCAACTTCATGAATGACAACATTAATCAAGATAAATACTGAACATGCATGGGAGGCAAAATTAATTTAGTTTTAGATATGCTAAGTGTCATATGCCAGTGCAGTAAGCAAGAGGAGATGTCTTGAAGGCAGTGCATATTTGAGTCTAAAACTCAGAAGGGAGTTTTGGGATAGGGGCTGTGTATTTGGAAGTAATAAGCATGTAGTTGGAATCAAGGAAACAACAGTTTTTGAGGAAAGTATGGAAAGCATAAAGAAAAAGGTGATAAAATAAATCCACATTAAAAAGACCAGCAGAGGAAGAACAGCCATAATCCTAAAAGAAAAATCTACATTTAAAGTCTTTTTCTCACCCTGCTGCCATGGTTGAAAGCAGGCAAGATCTTTGATACTAATGGCAAACCCTAAGTGAAGCATTTCAAGTGGTTTTTCTCTCTCCTCTGCTGGATGGAGGTTGTTATACATCTCTCTTGGATGTCCCTGTTTCTTTCTCCTTGAACAAAAAAATTTTAAAGCCAAGTATGTTTGATGGGATAACCTCATTGCCTAAAATAGAAGGAATAATTTTTCCAGAGTGAAAATTGTCAAGCCAATAAGAATTTCCACTCTCACATTAACTGATACAAGAATTAACTCTCAAAAATGGAACCTACAGTGAGATTTTTACTTTGGTACAGTTCTGTTGGTGATGAGGAATTTGTTCTGTTTTCACTTCTTTCTGTTGGAAAAAAAAAATATATATATATACACATATACATATATAATCAGTAAAAGTAATTCAAGCCCACCAAAATTTAGAAATAAGCCTTAAAAGTTGTGCTTTTGGAAGTAGTATAGCACATCAGAGAGATCAAAGAGGTGGTAATTAGACTTAATATTGCATCTTAGCTCCAAAACTCACTAGCAGTGGGACTCTGATCAAATTACTATCTATATGTTTTGGTTTTGTCAGCCAATGATGTCTACTCCATGGAGTTATCTTTGAAAATTAAGTGTGTGCATAATTTACTTCTCATAGTTCCTGGCACATAATCAGTATTAAGAATTACTTAACCATTTGGAGCACCTGTGTGGCTCAGTTAAGCATCTCACTCTTGATTTCCTCTCAGGTCATCATCTCATAGGGGAGGGGGGCGGAGATCAAGTCCCACATCAGGCTCCACACTGGGTCTAGAGCCTGCTTAAGATTCTCTCTCTCCCTCCCCCTCTGCCCCTCCTCCACCCCACTCACACAATCTCTCTCTTTAAAAAAATTAAATTAATTAAGAAATAAGTTAATTTTTGAAAAAGAATTACCATTTAAAATATATCACAATATTCATTAAGAGTGAAAAATAAAAGTACACTGATTAAGAAAATTGGTAAATAACTATGTTCATCTACCTGATGGAAAAGTGTGTATTCCATTGTAGTACATATACATTATCTGAATACATAGAAAACATAAAAATAACGTTAATTGAGAAAATAAGTTTTCTATCTAAAATATAGCTTTCAGTATATTTTTCAAGTTTATATAGAAATTGTACTCTAGCAAATAGTAGTTTGTAACTATTATTTTCTAATTCTGTGCACTGTCATCAATTTACTTTCCTAATGTGTTACTAAAATAGCAGGTGAAATACACTGACAATTACTTTCCCAATTTGACTTCAGTAAGAACTTGAGAAAATTTTTAATGAAGCTAAATAATCCATCAACCTATGGTCTGAAAGCCCTCGTGGAAGTAGCTTTGAACTGCGAACAAGAAAACCAGGCCCAGATACGTCACTGTTTTACCGCAAGCCTCGTATAAGTGTTTACCTGTCTGTGCTTCAGTTTCTTCATATTGAAAATGGAGAAATCCTAATCCTAGTTCTAACCCGTTTCCTATTTCATGAAGCCCTTGGGAAACTATCACTGAGTAACATGTAAAGCAGTTGGAACCCAATTTAGTAAGCTACATAATTTTTTAAAGGCTGTTGTCGTCTTGGACAGTAAAGAATAGCCCGTGGGTGAATCCTGCAAGCTGCTTCGACAGCCGTACACAGCCACCTTCCTCTTGGCACCGTCCACGTTTGGCAGGTGTATTCCACTCCTTACAGGAAGGGCTAGGTGCCTCATTGTGTTTCAGGAGTCAGTGAGCTTTTACAGAGCTAAGTAATTGACATTTTTTTTCACTTCTGAGATCAAATTTTCATACATCATTCAACCTGGATAAACTGAGAATGTGGTTGATCTAGTAATTGTTGAAACACAGTAAAGACAGCACAAGACGTGATATTTAAGTATTTCCTTCTAACCTCTTACCTTAGCAAGACATGAGTTCTAAATGGAAGTATGTCTTAATGTATAAAAAGGAAACTGAAGTAGATGAGCCTGTTAGTAAAGGAGAAGTCAAAAGAGGCACAACACCGATTCATCCAGTAATTTGGGGTTCCACTGATTCTGAGTTCATAGTAATAATAGTAACTCTGCAGAGTACAGCTCACTTTGACATTATGAAGAAGATTTTTTTGATAGTAGTATAAATGAGGGTGGAGGGATATAGCTAACCACCTTGAAAGTAATGTTTTCTGGCTTTTTTACAATGTATGCCAAAAAATGCTGTTAAATGGCCTGTCAATATTTCTATCGGGAGTCCTTTTTTAACAGTTAATTGAGGTTACTATCATATTTTAAAAATACATTTAAATTTTCATACTGATATTTTTCTTGCCCCTCCTCCAAAGTTTAGGTTAGTGAAACTTTGTCTTAAAGAATTTATGTAATCCTATAAATCATCAATTTCAGAGTGTATAAGATAGCACTAGTTTTTATCACTAGGGAAAATCCAACTAATACAGATTGGCCTGTGAACACGGTGAATTGTCCAGTGAATCTTCTCATTCAGTAGTCTGAAGCTGTTTTAGTGGACACATAATACTTTTGTATAATTTTTTACATTTGAGAAATTTGTAGTAATAAACTTAGGCAAGATTTGCCTTTTTATTCTAAATACTAGCATTTCTCAAAGCAAAGATTTTTGATGCACTGAATTATTTTGTTTCATCCTCTTGTTTTCTGTTAACAGAGCTCAGTATATGCAAAATCATCCAATAAACTTGATCTAGCTTTCAGAGTTGCATGCAGCTGATTAGCCATGTAAACCAGTGTGTATGACACTAAGAATACCCTCATTCCTTTAGTGTCTAGCTCTGTGCTGTGTTTATTTGCAAAGGACCCTCATGCATGGATCCATATAAATGAGGCAAGCTGGAGCAGACTAGACTATGTTGCTCACCAGTCTTTGAGGAGGAAGATTGTGTATATGAAAACTGGAAGATTTCTCTGTGTGTAACATCAAACTGGATTTTTTGTTGAGGTTTTATGTTTTCAGTAAAAAAATAAAAGGAAAAAAATCAATGGTCTGATTCCATCATCTCTTGTCAAGCAAAATCTCACTGATCTGCATGAATGCCATCTCCCACCCATAGAGTAGCCTAAGAACACTACAGAATGGACTTCTGAACTCTTGACTTTATTTTCAGTATAATTGGTGAATTTTTTCAGTCAACTAAAAAAAAATCACTTGTCTTTGACTAGAAACTAGAATCATTGCTAGCCTGTTTATATTACTCAGAATAGAAGCTTCTTTTTAAATGTACTACAGAAAGTCTGGTTTTTATTAGCATCAAATCATTTGTGTATATTTAAATGATTTTCATGCCCCTAAAACGTGAAGTTTTTTTCCAGCTGGCTAATTCCTAATTATTTTCATCAGCTGACTTTCGAGGGAAGGAAGAAATGTCATGTGTCAGAATTGTGTAGCATACCAGCGTGTCACTTATGTAGCTAAGTAACAGGTGTAAGAGCGATGGTATTTCTGTACTGAAATATGTACTTCTTAGGTAAAAATCAATTTGAAACTGCTCTGCATTTCATGTACCATCTTCTCACTACATAGTAAATGATTCATCCGCAGCCTTAACGCAAGCAGGTAAATGTACTGAAGTGAGTATGTTATATTTTTCATGTAGCATCTAAAGCTGACATAATCTGAAGATCTGGGTTAAAGTTTGTGTTGTTACTGTTTTTTTAACCTCAGATACTTGGCACTCTGCACCAGTGTGTCTTGCTGACAGTAATGCTTTGTCTCTTAACATGACTACCAGCACTGCTTGGTCACAGGCAAATACTGTTCTTTTTCAGCCAAAACATTCCTGACAATAACTGCACTTTTTGTATTCTTTCCCCCCCCCTTCCCGCCCTCCTTCCCCCAACTTAGGTTGGAAAGGCTGGTGGACGTCCTGAGGAAGAAGGTTGGAACAGGGACCATGAGGACAGTGATCTGACTGAAAAAACGGCAGTCTGGGGAAGCAATCACATCTGGTGACCAGGCTGCTTCATTCAACACTGTGTAAACACTAAAGCCTTAACTTAGCAAACAGTTGTTAGAAGTGGGACACTCCAACCACATTCCAAGCTGAGATAAAATCAAATCACAAATGTTTAACCACTTTGCTGCTGACTTATTTATCCAAATGTATTAACTACAGACTTTTACCAATGAGTAGCTGTAAAGTTGCAGCTTATTTTGTAACTATTTTATATCTCACTGTACTGAATATAAATCTTTTTACCGAGAGACCATTATAGGTCATATCTTCACAAATGGCCCTTTCTGAGTCAAAATGCAGCAAAGTAAATATTGTCTAAACCTAATCCACTGTGTTAGGTCAAAACTTCAAATACATGCATTTTTCAATATACAATTTATTTCTTAACTGATGAGAGAAGCTCAGATGTGAGAGTGTATAGTCTTCCTCCAATGCATACACATAATCTTTGTTAGTATTAAAGAATATTAAATCTAAATACCAAGAATTAAATATATACTTTGCTCTAATAAGAGTTTGATATTTTAAAATTACATTAATCAAGGCATGATGTTTATTTCACTACAAATAATGCAAACTGTTTTCAATTTAAAAAAAGGATATTGTTCATGTGTACTTTTAAATTCATATTGTCAACACTTTTTAATGTTGTGACTGAATAATTATCTGAACTCTATTTAAGCTATAGAAATTGCCAAGTCTGTCTCATAGGCTGGGACACCTTTGGCTTGAAAATTAGCATGTGCCAGCATGACTTTAAAAGGCAAGAGGCCATCAAACATGTTAAGTATTATCACTTGAATTTTTGTTGTGGAGGAGGGGAACCCAATATACAATAAAATTATAATGTAAAAATATAAGGACGTGGAAAAAAAGAAAACTGGCAATTTTGTTTGGTTACCTACTTTTTTCTTTTATTTAAAAGATAATTTGAAATAGTTATGGCATAGCAGTCACTTCTGATCACATGAAATTATGAATAAAACTAAGATTTATGTATTTGGCTATAGGAAAAATTTCTTCTTTTTTTTAGATTGAATAGATGAGAGGCCAGTAGAAGATGACTATGCCTGGAACAGGATGAAATAGGCAAGTAGAGATTGAATTAGTGAAAATTTTGTAGGAAAGTGAAAATTTTTCTAAGGCCATACAGTATTATAATTGATCTTTAAGACTGAGCTAAGTTATCTACCATTGCTTGTTTTGGGGACAAGAACAGGACAGTTTATTGCACCATTCTTTCATACACCAATGGAGATTATTTGTGTGATTTTTTTTTTTTTTTACTCTGCACAAAAATGTAAGGTCCTTTATCACAGAGTGACAAAAGAATCATAATGTTAACAAACTCAGTTTCCTCCTCATTAAATTTATTAAATGAACTGGCAGTTAGAACCATCCCATTGAGTTCCAATTCAGAATTTACTCATGTTACCTGCTTTTAATTTTTCTTTAAACTATTAGAATTAGAAAATAAGGAACAACAGGGGTTAGAATAAGCTAACTGGATCTCCTCTACAGCCCTAAAGAGAATTATAGCTTTTCATAGGCCAGTGACTAGATAAATAGAGAAATCTGAAATAATTTGGTCAGGCCTGGAGTCTTCTCTCTGAGCTCCTTTGTGAAGGAACAGTGCCTTTTAAGTCATGCAGGTAAGTAAAGAGGAACAGTTCTTGTCACAAGATAGTCCATTCCTGAATCTTCTTCAAATAAATCGCAAGTAAACTTGAATTTTCAGTTTAGTCCTGAAGACGAGACAAATCTTTCTTGAGTTATTTTGCTTGGGGTTTTATAAAACACACTCTAAGCATAAAGACATTTTGCAGTTTCCAAACATCTCTTCCTATCCCTAACTGATCAGATTAGAGCAACCAATTCCCGTAATTAATATCCAGAACTTTTAAAGAATTGGGTATTATGAAGCTAAGTTTATAAAACAATTCTAATGTTTACTATTGTGAATGTAGATAATCACTACCAAAACATCACATCCCCTTGAAGATTAGTCCTGTACAAAATTACAGATGCTAAGTATTACAGCCAGATATTATCAATTGATTTCTGGCACTTAAAAATGTGCACCAACAATGTTTCAAACAGTCTTTACATTTTTTTGTCTGTGAAAGAATGGCCCAGCTCACTGAAGATCAGTTCTCCACATATTCGGTAATAATGCAATTTCAGTAGTCCATGCTGCCCAGAGATGTTGCTTTGAGTTTGCCTTAAATATTATCAAGTCTAATTCCTTTGATAACATGAGAATTCACTTACCGTTGTAAAAATAAGTTCAGAAGAAAAGCAGAAAGATAATACAAACATGTGTAGCACTTGATTTATTATAAAATCCTTTCACATCTGTATTTTTATTTGATCCTATCAACAACCATATAGTAGCAATAATGGTAAATTATATATACATATATATCAACCACATAATAATGATGATGGTAATTGTAGTAGTATCGTTATTATTATTACATTTTACAAAGGAGGAAATAGACTCCGAGGGTCTAGGAGTTTGCCAAGGACCTGTTAGGACTTATAACTGAGGTCTTATTACTAACTCCACACAGCCATACCTCTCTAAACCATTCTATAAGAAAAAAAAAAAAAGAAAATTTTAACTCTTGCAATTTTTGTTATTATTGTGCCATTTCTCTTCTACACATACATATACATTTGCTAACAATGGAGATGGTATGCATTTCTTGCAGTGAAGTGCAATAATGTGAACTGCACGGGTAAATAGCATCACATCACCTCTCTATAGTGTTATAGTAGCAGCATACCTTGCCTTAGGCTTCACTCATTAGGAGTGACAATTCATTGTTAGTAAAAAATAACCTTGAGTTGCTTTGTACTATTTTTAATTTGGCCTGACGCTGAAACCTGACAGTGTAGTTTTATCAAATGGTGGTATGAACTTCAGGGCTTACTTTACCTCCTAGAGCAACTATTAGAGATAGAACTGGTTATAGGCAAGTTATAAGCAAGGTTATTGATTATAAGCAAGGTATGAGGAGTTATAGCAAAGTTATTAGTTAATTATTAATCTATGAGAAATTTTAAGTCTACCTTTATAACTAAGCCATTACGTTAAAATTATTTAAAATATTTGAAATATTTTATGTAATAAAATATTTTCCTTATTCAATGAGAAAGGTGGTCCTTTGTATATATCCTTATTCAAATAGACTGAAGAATCTTGTCAGTCACTTACTCATAGAATTAGTTTACTTCACAAAAATGTTAGAATATTAAAAATCTGTAGTTTTAATATTGGATATAGTTGCATAGAAAAGCATTTTTATATGTAGTATTTTTAAAGATCATAGATATTTTTTAAGTTTCTATTTTCAAATACTCATGATTAATGAGTCATTATAATGATAAAATAACCATGGCTTACACATTTTATCTTCTCACATATGGTTTGCATGGAACCCAGGTTTTTCCTGACATTATTTTGTTGTTGATAACTGTTATTCACAACTAACCTATCGATTGACCTATTAATATCTATATACATGTATATATCTATATACTTAGATGTATACACACTGACACACACACAAATACATTTTCCCTTTTAAAAATTTGATTTATAAGTCCACTGTTAGGCTCCAGTGACTTCAGTATTTTGTTCATGTTTTATTAGAAATGCACGTGGTTCCTGAGGCTTTTAAACAAATACATGGAATGGTTGAAAGATTTATATTGCTCATGCTTAGCTAAATATGTCATCTCTAGAAAAGATGTGGTTTATTTTGGCACTGTTTTAAAAACTCAAATATTTTAAACATTTGTTAAGTTGGAGCTTGCACATTTGAACTAGTAGCATACGTTCCAGAATAGCTTCTCAAGTTACCAAACTTTTTGTAATCCTTTTACTAGAATAACCTTTTTTGAAGGTTTTTTTCTGTTCTTTTTTATTATGTACTTTAAGTTAAATTTATAGAGGTTGGAGTTATTATTTTTAATGTAGGATTTCATAAACAGAAGAGGACAATGATGAGTATTTATTTTTGAGAATCATTAAAATATTGTATACCATTTCTACTTCTTTGCAGAAATCTTATTTTTAAGATTTTTTATTAATTTTATTGTTATCTAAGTATAGTTTTGGGGTACACTAGTACTTTTGAAGCCACCAGTTTCTTGACTGATTATTAACAAAGATGCATTTTAATGCACAAACTCAAATATCTAAAATATATATATATTTATTCATATAAAATCCCCTACTGCAAATCCTACACATTTCAATGCAATTCTTATACATTGATCTTAATCAGATTTATAGTGGTACAATCCTGAAGATCCTTTACTGGATATGCCTATAAAATATACTACAGTAAGAAGACCAATTAAATTCACCATCAAACTGTGTCTGACTTCCTTAACAAATTTAATAAAGATAAAAATTGATAGGAACAAATTTTTAGGTACTTTAGGAAACTTTAAAAACTATTTAGATATAAAATAAAATTATAACAATAAAATATTAAAGATAAACATTACTTTTGGTAAGATGGTTAGGAAGAACCTGGGGGGGGGCACCTGGGTGGTTCATTTGGTTAAGCGTCTGCCTTCGGCTCAGGTCATGATCCCGGGGTCCTGGGATTGAGCCCTGCATTGGACTCCGTGTTCAGGGGGGAGTCTGCTTCTCCCTCTCCCTCTGCCCCTCCCCCCTTCTTGTGCTCGCGCTCTCTCTCAAATAAATAAATAAAATCTTAAAAAAAACAGGAAGAAAGAAAGAAAGAACCTAGGAAGGGAGATTAGTTCTCTTAATGGAAAAATAATAGACTGATTGAAATCTACTACAAAGCACCTCTACTAATTTTGGAATTTGTATATGAAATTTTGCTGTAACCAATAGCTGAAATCTAAAAACACTGCTTCTATTTCTGTTTAATTATTCAATCAAGGTAAAGTAATGTAAATAACGTACATACACTACATAATACCTGCAGGGAACTTAGTGAACTTCGAATTTAAAGCTTAAAGTACATGGCTAAAAGAGGACGAGGGTGGGGTGGGCAGTAAGAATCTTTGGGTCAGAGATTCTATAAACTGTTCATGTCTAAACTGTCACATCACAGTTTACAAAAATTGTTGTCTCACCATGTATGGTCTTTGTGATGTTGTTATCATACATTTCACTTCTACATATGTACACAATAATAACATTGTTATTGTTGCTTTATTTTTTTTTTTAAGATTTTATTTATTTATTTGACAGAGAGAGGGAACACAAGCAGGGGGTTGGAAGAGGGAGAGCAGGCCTCCTGCCGAAGGGAACCCAATGTGGGGCTCAATCCCAGGACCCTGGGATCAGGACCTGAGCCAAAGGCAGACACTTAACGCCTGAGCCACCCAGGCGCCCCTTATTGTTGCTTTAATCACCAATTTTGAAGAAGATTTTAAAAAGTAAGAACATTATTTTATATTTACCCACATATCTACCATTTCCGGGGCTCTTCTTTATGTAGATCCAATTTTCCACCCACTATCATATTCCTTCTTCCTGAAGCATTTGTCATGTATACTAATGCAAGGCTGTGAGTGATGAGTTCTTTCAGCTTTTGTATGTCTGAAAAATGTCTGGATTCTTTTCTTTGCCTTCATTTTGTGAAAAAAGTTTTTTGCTGAATATAGAATTTTAGGATAATTTTTTTTTTCAGTATTTTCAAGATGTTGCTTTTTTGTCTCTGGCTTGCTTTGTTCCTGCTGTCATTTGCATTTTTATTCTCTACATAATAATGTCCTCTGGCTGCTTTAAAGATTTTTCCCTTTGTCATTTGTTTCAACCAATTAGATTAGGATGTGTTATGGTATAGATTTCTGCATGCTTCTGTGCTCGTGGTTTGTTGAATTTCTTGGACTGTGCGTTTGTAATCGATGAATTTTTATAAAGATTTCAACCATTTTTTTTAAAGATTTTATTTAGGGCTGCCTGGGTGGCTCAGTCGTTAAGCGTCTGCCTTCGGCTCAGGTGGTGATCCCAGGGTCCTGGGATCGAGCCCCCACGTCGGGCTCCCTGCTCAGCGGGAAGCCTGCTTCTCCTTCTCCCACTCCCCCTGCTTGTGTTCCCTCTCTCGCTACCTCTCTCTCTGTCAAATAAATAAATAAAGGTTTTATTTATATTTTTATTTATAAAAATTTATTTATAAAATAAAACCTTTATTTATTTATTTGACAGAGAGAGAGGGCACAAGCAGAGGGAGCGGCAGGTAATGGGGAGAAACAGGTTCCCCACTGAGCAAGGACCCTGGGATCATGACCTGAGCTGAAGGCAGACATTTAACCAACTGAGCCACCCAGGTGTCCCTCAACCATTATTTTTAAGAGTTTTCTGTCCCCCAAGTCTTTTTCCTCTCCCTCTGGACCTACTATTCAATATATATTAGGCCACTTTAAGTTGTCCTACAGCTATTTCATGCTTCATTTATTTTTTTTTCAGGCTGTTTTTCCTCTGTGTGTTTTATTTTGTATAGTTTCTATTGCTTTATTTTCAAATTTACTAATCTTTTCTTTTGCAGTGTCTAATGTGTTCTTAATTCCATCCAGAGCCTTATTCTTTGCAGGCGTATTTTTATCTCTAAAAGTTAAAGTTGGGCCTTTTTAATTTCTCTTATCTCTCTCCTGAATTGATTTATGCCTTATGTTATCTTCTGGAATATAGAAAACATAGTTATAAGAACTGTTTTAATGTTCCTGTCATTAATTCTATTATCTATTCCATTTTCAGGCCTGTCTATTGATTTTTTTTTTTCATCATGAGTTATATTTTCCTGCTTTGCATGCCTGCTGACTTTTTTTGGATGTCAGTCATTGTGTATTTTAACTTGTTGAGTGTTGGATTTTTTTGTTTTTCCTTAAAATTTTTTGAGCTATGTTCAGGGATACAGTGACACTACTTGGAAACAGTTTGATCCTTATAAGGCTTTTTTAAGCTTATTAGGCAGGATCAGAGTACCTTTAATGTCAGGCTGATTTTTTTCCCACAGTTTAGGCAACACCCCTCTGAACGCACTACCTGTGGAGTATGAAGTTTCTCTTTGACTGATCACAGCCTTGTGTGAGTTTTGGTTATTATCCTGCCTGCTCCTTTCTGGTAGTTCTTACCCTCACCTGGTAGTTTACTATCACACGTGCTGGTCAGTACACAGAGGAAGAGTCAGGGAACGCACTGCCGCTCTCCAGAGCCCACTGCTTTCTCGTACTCTCCCTGTGCGGCACTCCCCACTGCATTCGGGCTGACTCTTCTTCCGTACTCTGACCTGCAAATCCTAACCACCTTGGCGTCCCCCACAACCTCAGCTCTGGGTTCTCAACTCAGGGAGGCTGCCAGGCTCTGTTCCATTACCCCTCCCTGCACTCTGCTCTGTAACCTCTCCAGATGGTAAGCTGTCAGTCGTAGGGCTCACTTCATTCACTTCCCTTCCCTCAGGGCTCACTGTCCTGGGCTGCCAATTGTCCAAAGTCCAAAAACATTGATCCATGTATTTTCACCATTGTTTGCTGTTGTTGTGGTTGGTTTGGGGTGGGTTTTGTTGTTGTTTTTTTTTAATTGGGGGGTTAAAGTGGTCCCAGTTACTCCATCATGGCCAAAACTATAAATCTTCCTATAACTCTTTTAAAATGTCATCTTCTTAATGTTTAGCTGCCCTCTTCCCTGTTGAGAAATTAGCTGTCAATCTTAATGTTTTTCTCCTGAAAGTAAAGTCTCTGTTTTCTCTGTTTTTTTTTGTTTTTTTTTTTTTTTAGATTTTTATCTTTTTCTTTGTTTTTGACAGTTTTGTGCCTGGCTGTGGCCTTCTTTGTGTATTTCTTGCTTGATTTCATCCATCTTATTAAATCTCTAACTCAATGTCTTTTCTCAACTTTAGGAAATCTTTGGTGAATATCTTTTCCTCTTCCTTCTGAGACTCCAATTTTATATTTATTCACTATGTTCCCACATGTTGCTTTCACCCTCTTCTGTATTTTCCTATTTTTCCTCTATGTACCTTAGTTGTGAATTTTCAAAATTGTCTTTTATTTCATTAATCCTGTTTACTGCTATTAAAGCTATCTATTCAGGTCTTAATTTCAGATTCTGTACTTTTCAATTCTATAGTTTCCTTTTGATTTATTTATTTATTTATTTATTTGGTACATTGCAATTCTCTGGTGAAATACTCATCTTTCTAAATATATTGTCTCTCCCTCTGCTTCTACTTTCTTGAATATACTAGTCGTAGTTACTTAAAAGGCTGTGTCCACATGTCTACTAACTCCAATATCTGAATCATCCATAATCTATTTGTTTTTTGCTTTCTAGATGCATGGTCCTCTCTCGGCATGCCTATTAATTGTTGACTGAATATAAAACATCATGACCCTCTGGATGATTTTGTCTTCCTCCAGAGAGGGCTTATTAGCCTTTCCTCTATTGGGAAGATTGAGTGGAAGCTAATCACCTTAATGCAGTCAGGTACTGTGCTGAGTTGTAGCTGGGTTATATCCTGAGTAAGGCTCAGTTTTCTCTGGTTTGCCTCTCTTCCGATGGCGTAGTTCAGTCAGGCTTTCAGTGGTGCAAGTGATAGTTTCACTGGGGCCCGTTGAGATGGTCTCATCTGAGTTTTTTGGGTTGTTTGTTTGTTTAAGTAGGCTCCATGCCCAGCGTGGAGCCCCAAGCAAGATATGAACCCACAACCCTGAGATCATGACCTGAGCTGGGATGGAGAGTCAGATGCCTAACCGACTGAGCCACGCAGGCACCCCTCTTCTGAGCTTTTTTAACGTCCACTTAGGACAGCTCAGAATTTGCCAAGTATTTTGAAGGGGATCTGCATGTGTGTTTCAGGCCCTTTGGCTCCGCAGGTCTATCACTCCAGGCTTGCAAGATGGCCAAAAGCTGTTTCCTCTGTCCCCAGCAGCAGTCTTCTGCTAGGACAAAGCCCAGGTTATCATTCTCTCACCTTCACCCAAAACCAGCAAATGCCTCCAGGGGAAGAGCGGCTGCAGATCATCAGTTTACCTCTCTATTGTTCTCTCTTTAGAATCTTAG